TGACTAAATTCCCAATCAAAAGACACAGCCAAAACCCAATGGCATGTTACATCCAGACCTGTTTCACAGGCAAGGATACACAAAGACTCAAAACAAAGGGATGGAGAAAGATTTACCAACCAAATGGAGAGCAAAAATAAATAATAAATAAAAAGCAGGAGTTGCAATTCTTCTATTGGATAAAATAGATTTTAAAGCAACAAAGATATAGTGGTAAAAGGATCAATGCAACAACAAGAGCTAACGATCCTAACACCCAGATAGGAGACTTAGATTCAATGAGACAGAAAATTAATAAGGATATCAAGGACTCGAACTCAGATCTGGAACAAGTAAACTTAATAAATATTTATAGAGCTCTCCACTTCAAATACACAAAATATACATTCTTGTCAATACCACATCACACCTACCCATTAGTTTAAATGAAACATTGATTGGCCATTATTAATACCCAATTTTTTTCAAAATAAAGCAATATTTCCATTTACTCTCCCTCTTTCTCTTCCTCTTTCTTCCTCTCCTTTACTTATTATTTTTTTTTCTTTCCTTCTCTCAAAAAAAAAGAAATCAACTTGTAAACTCTAGATCCAGGTCGGCAATGTCTCTTTCATTGCTTGATTGCCTTTCTTCCCTTCCCTCCCTCCCTCCCTCCCTGCTTCCTCCCTTCCTCCCTTCCTTCATCCCTTCCTTCCTCCCTACCGTCCTTCTTCCCTTCCTTCCTGCCTTCCTCCCGCCCCCCGCCCCCCCAAAAAAAATGGCATTCTTTTTCTTTTGTGTGAGCACAGGGGTGAGGAACACAGTGATGATCAGTACAGTTTCATGCCACTGTGCTGAGTTGTGTTAAGATGTCAGCAGTTCTATCAGTAAAAATGTCAACATACTGGAAAAGGCAAATAACATCTTTTTTTTTTGAGACAGAGTCTTGCTCTGTCTACCAGGCACCACCATGCTCAGCTAATTTTTGTATTTTAGTTGAAACGGGGTTTTGCCATGTTAGCCAGGCTGGTCTCAAACTCCTGGCCTCAAGTGATCCACCTGCCTTGAGCAAATAACATCTTAACATTATTATCAGCTGAGTTCTGATATCACGGACCTTTGAAATGGTCATGGGGACCTGCAGAGGTACAAGGACTACACTTTGAGAATGGCTGTTCTAAGATACTTTTCCCCTGAGGCTCTCCATTGATCCAATGGGAATCTTCAGGAAAGCAACCGGCACAGATGAAAATGGGCATTTAATGGGGCACTCCTATGCAGGGCTTGTCTCAGGCAAAGTTCTCTAAAGATTATTATTATATGAATAAATTGGCATTAAGCATGATGAAGTGATCCAAACATATTAATAATTAGCTTTGTGGTTATAATGCTTTTACTATATAATCAATAAGTATAAATAAGCTTTAAAAAATTTAAAAATTTATTATTTGTTTTGAGACAAGGCCTTGCTATTTTGCCCAGGCTGGAATGCAGAGGTGCAAATACAGCTCTCTGTGCAGCCTAGATCTCCTGAGCTCAAGTGATCTTCCTGCCTCAGCCTGCTGAGTAGCTAGGACTACAGGCACATGCCACTAAACTTGGCTAATTTTTAAAATTTTTGTAAAGACAGAGTCTCATCCTATTGCCCAGGCTGGTCTCGAACTCTGGGGCTCAAGTAATTTTCCTGCCTCAGTCTCCCAAAGCACTGCGATTATAGGTGTGAGTCACCACACTCAGCCTGTTAGTAAACTTTTAATTTGAATCTGGATTGGGAAAGAGAAAGACATTTCACCTTATAAAACTAATTAAGCTACATTAAAATTTTTCTATATTAGTGTTAATAACACAAAATTTACCTACTGAAGCCTGAGATCCTATCTGAATTTAAGAAATCTAAGTGGTTCTGGAGGCTGACATGAAGGGACTGTTTAAGCCCAGCAGCTCAAGAGAGCTTAGGCAACATAATGAGAACCCCATCTTTATTTAAAAAAAGAAAGGAAGGAAGAAATAAAAAAAATCTAAATGAGATGGGTGGGCATGGTGGCTCATGTCTGTAAACCCAGCACTTTGGGAGGCTGAGGTGGGAGGATCACCTGAGGTCAGGAATTTGGGACCAGCCTTACCAACATGGTGAAACCGTGTCTGTACTAAAAATACAAAAATTAACCAGGCATGGTGGTGGGTGCTTATAATTCCAATTACCCAGGAGGCTAAGGCAGGAGAATCTCTTGAACCTAGGAGGTAGAGGTTGTAGTGAGCTGAGATCACACCACTGCACTGCAGCCTGGGCCACAGAGCAAGGTTCTGTTTTCAAAAAGAAAAAAAAAAAAAAAAAGAAGAAATCTAAATAAGACTTACTTATTTTAACATATCACAGGCAGAATTATGAAAACTCACCAGAATCTACCTAATTCTCATTTCACAAAGTAGAGGAAGTGAGGAAATACTAACCTACCATCTTGAAAATCATGGACTCATTTCAGACGTGCCAAATACTGTGACCATAAAAGCAGAATTGGATTCTAAAGATAAACACTGAGAAGGCAAAAACTGCATACAGTACTTGATTCTGATTGGCATGGAAGTTCAACAATTAACATTAATATTTGTTAATAATCATCAAGCATCTGTAATCTACACTACTTTAGATGATTTCTCTAGCCATTAAAACTTTTTTCTTTCTTGAGATAGAGGCTGTTTGTTGCCCAAGCTGGAGTGTAGTAATGTGATCTTGGCTCACTGCAACCTCTGCCTCCCAGGTTCAAGCAATTATCCTGTCTCAGCCTCCTGAGTAGCTGGGATTACAGGTACCCACCACCATGCCTGGCTGATTTTTGTATTATCAGTAGAGACAGGGTTTTACCATGTTGGTCAGGACGGTCTTGAACTTCTGACCTTAGGTCATTCACCCGCCTCGGCCTCCCTAAGTGCTGGGATTATAGGCATGAGTCACCATGCTCGGCCACCATTAAAACTTTTAATCTGGGGGTTGCAAATCTTTTCTTTAAGGGAGAAAGAGTAAGTGTTTTAAATTGTGTAGGCCATACTGTCTCTTTAACAACTATTCATTTATGCCTGTGTAGGGTGAAAGCAGCTGTGGATAATACACAAATAAATGGGTGTGTTCCAATAAAACTGTGTTTCAATAAAACTTTAACAAAAACATAGTGGCTATAGTTTCCTTATCTGTTTATTTAACAAACTTTGTGTGGAGTGGAACAAATATGCTTATAGGCAAGAGTCTCAAAATATGTAATTTGAAAATATATTTTTTAAAAAAGTGTGAGGATATGTAAATTTTTAAGCCAAACGAATCTTTATACTCTGAAACCAAAAAAGCAGCCAAGAAGCCTCATTATCGCTGCCCATGAACCTGATTTAGAAAATTAGTCATATTCTAAAAATCTAATAGATTGGGACACAGAAAAATATATAGATGAAAAGAATTGATTTAATCCTGCGAGTTTTAGGGAAGTGTTGCATTCTGTGGTGCTCCTTACCAAATATGTGACTTTGCACTTAAGTGTACTAAATGAAGTGCTGTAAAGTGAATTATCTTCTAACATCCCCCAGAGGTAGGAAGTACAAACAGTCATTTTGCAAATAAGAAACGTGAGATTTGGAGTAGGTAGGTAACTTGCCCAGTTATCAGACTGTAAATAGCAGACCCCCATGTGAATGAATTTACTTGGATTCAAGGCCTGAGAAGTTAATGATGAGATTCTCCTGCCTCCCAGTACTAGACTATTCTGCAGTAGTTAGCAAATTTAAAATGGAGGGCCTCAGATGTTGTGATGCGGGGTACATGCTTTTTCCTGTAGGTAACTAAGGATTTCCTGTTATTACGCTGGGAATGACAGAGAAACGTTCAGGTGTTCTCACTGCCTAGTTTAATGTAACATCCATCAGACAGGTATGTTTTTCTTCTTTGGGCCTCGGCCCTCCTCTCTGTAAAAGGGGCTGGTCTGAGGCACCCTCTGTCTCTCAACTTCTGCATAACTGTGTTACTCACTTGTTTTCACTTTCAATGTATGCTTTACTGTTATAGCGTTCAAAATAATGACCAAGAAAAGTTTTCAGCCTTCAAGATGAAAAACGTTGGTATAACATCTAAATAGTACTTTGTCTTACCAGATTTCTGAACACTTTTCATAAAGAAAGTAAAGAATTACCAAAGTTCCTTAACATATTTTTTTAACTAACGAAATATCAAATGGTGATAGTAACTACTAACTACAAAAATCCTATTATCTATTAACTTTCCAGAAAAAAGGCAGAATTAGAGTGTTCATGACAAGTAACCCAGTGTGTGAAAATAGCATCCTGTCAAGAGGAAAGGGTATATTAAGACTTATTAATCTAGGGAAAGCATTATGTCTAAAACCCCAGCCATAGCACAGCCCAGCAACTGTCAAAGGCCTGGGCTGACCTCTCCCAGGCGGGAGGGGCACCAATAAAGGATCTGAACATAAGTAGACAAGTAAGGTCTAGGAAGATCTTATTAAAGAAACAAAGCAACTGCAGTGTGCTTGCTTTCACAACAAACAACCCAGTCACCAGCTACGAAAAGAAAAAGGCAAAATTGTGCACTGAGTTCTCAACGAAAGAATATGGTCAGGTAGAAACAGACTCATTTTTAAATAAAGCAAAATGCAAAGCATCTGTGACCTAGCTTCATATTTTAATACAGACTTGATCATTAGGGAGATCTCTGACAACCAACAAAGGAAAAACCTCCTTCAAGTTAGGCAGCACGGGAAAAACATTTTAAGATGACATCTAATCCAACTGCTCATATCTTAAAACAGCCCCTACTTGAAATAAATACAAGTGAGGAAAGTGAGTACCCATGAGGGTAATACAAAAAGACGAGCAAACAAACAAACATAAAAAAATTGGTGTTACAACTATTACTCTTAGAATAACATAAAATTTTATATTCTCCTCATAGCAAACAGCTGTCTAAACGTAAATGTCAAAAGTAAGAGTAACCCCAAAGTTGGGGTGAGGACGGTAGCTACCTTGGGCGGCGCTTCATCAGACCCTCCGGAGTCCCAGGAGACTGTAGCCTGTCTTCTGGACTCCATCCTCATGCGTTCTTCTTGCTGAGCCTTCTCTTCCTCCAGGATTGTGCTAGAGAGACAACACATTGTCTTAGGAGAGCTGACAATCAGAGTTAGCATACACTAGACCCCACCCTGAGTTATCTAAGGAATACCAGTTGGCTAACAGTAGATGATAATAATAAAGAAAGGATCCCATCGACAGGGGAAAGGAGGATCAGGTTTCTAACTCTTCATGAAATAATTCTAGAATAGCCTTGGTCCAAATGGGCAAGTCCATTTAAAGCACAGCCACAGGTAAGAAAAAGACAGCTGGTAAGAAAAAGAAGTTGCAGAAAATGAACGACAGGCCAAGAAGAAATGTTTGCATGCCAAACATCTGCTATTCTTGAGCAGAACAGAATTACCCTGAGAAATCCCAAGCAGCACTTTATCAAGCATATACATGTCTGAGAACAGATTCTTTTCACACATAATGTGATCACGCCAGCAGTTACGTGACCAATTAGCAATCTGGCCAATAATCACCCTAAATTGCTAAATACAATCTTCCTATCGTTCAGCTTAACCAGTGCTTTAACTGATCAGGAAAATAAGGAAAAATGTGACAGTATGTAAAATGCTTCTGAAAATACTGCTTGCTTTAAGCTGGAAACCCCATAGTGGGTAACACTGCTACTTACCACCGCTTGACTACTCAGAAGCTATCTGAAGTCCCACATATGCTGCAGCCTCTGCAGTGACTGCTAGGCAGCTTCTTCATCTTGGCTGTTTGCCATCACATAAACCCCTCAGAATGCAGCCAAAGTGAGACTCTGCTAGTTTCCCATTCCACACAGATGCCCCAGGGCTCAGCAGGCAGCAGGTCTTTGAAACCTTCGTCCTAACTATGGCAAACAGCTCTTCCTACATTCCTACAGCTCCAGAGTTCTAATAATGATGCTCATTCAAAGTTTCTGGTCTCCTGGTAGATAGTGTGCAGTAAACAACCACCCAGAATTACTCAGGAAAGAGTGACATCAGTGCACCAGACTCTTTCTAATCTGGGAATTTGCTCAACTGCTTAAAAAGACATTCCTTCTTGGTTGGAGGCTAGAGTGTGCTGCTATTTCTCACACAACTTAACTTACACAGTCACCTTCTGAATCAGGAAAAGAGACAAAATTTATTTCGTAACTGCCCCAAGTCAGCGAATCATCACTACAGATGTTAAGACGTTTTTTATCCCCAAACAAAAGGGAGTGTCTGCCTCAAGAAATGATTGCATCAGCATTTTACATAAAAGCTTTCGGTCAAAAGTCCTACTCCATTCTCAAGACATGGTTTTGGTTTCTTTCTTACTCCTGTTAGGTGATCATGGCTCAGCAAACACCCCAAAACTTTTCATAGCACTTAAAAATTTTGCAGCAACCTTGACAGACAGGCAAGATGTTCACTGGGTGCCAGAACTGTTGGGAACCTGGTCCCATATGACAGGCCCAGGTGAGCCCAAGTAAGTGGTGCAGGGAAGTTTGGGGCCAGGTCTGGGGAAGGAGCACAGGGGTCCCGAGAGGGCCATTCTCTCTGCCCTGCCCCTCCAATCTGAAGAGCCCTCCCCTCAGCTGCTGGGAGGATTAAGGGAGGTGGTGGCTGTGAGAGCATCTGCTGTGTTAGTTGTTATCAGTGGGTATTTCCTAATGGCATTTATTTGAGGGCTGCTCATTCAGCAAGTATTTAATAACTTGCTAAGGTCTTTGAGGTGCTTTGTCTAGGAGAAAAGAAATACTCAAAACCTTGAAACAGGGTCAGACAAGTTGGCTTATGCCTGTAATCCCAGCACTCCGGGAAGCTGAGGTGGGAGGATCGCCTGAGCCCAGAAGTTCAAGACCAGTCTGAGCAAAACAGCAAGAGCCCATGTCTATAAAAGATTAAAAAAAAAAAAAAAAGCCAGGTATGGTGGCACATACCTGTCGTGCCAGCTACTTTGGAGGCTGAGGTAGGAGGATGCTTGAGCCTAGGAAGTGGAGGCTGCAATAAGCACCACTGCTCCCCAGCCTGGATGACAGAGTGAGACTTGTCTCACACACACACACGAAAAAAAAAAAAGGAAGAACAATCAAAAAATAAAAACAAAACAAGAAAACCCTGAAACAGGGCATGAATGTTATAACTAAGCAGTAGAGAAGAGCCTGGCCTGGTACATTCTAGCTGCAGAACCAAGGGGGAGAGGGTACTGTCTCAGGCCTTGGGGGAAGGTTAGGGAGGAAGAGTCCCAGCATCCCAGCAGGTTACAGTTATAGACTCATACCAAGCACATAATACTTGTGTGCTTTTGGTCATGTAATGAGCATTACATGAGCAAGGCACAGCAATGTTTTCTGTCCATTTATGTGAAAATAAATACCTTTATATTTCAATTTTTCTTATGTATTTAAATTTATGAGTAAAAAAAACACCTTTTGTTATATGTTGAATGAAACAGTGCCTGGCACATAGCTGACACTTAAGTATTTGCTAAATGTACAAGTACTGCATATGGATAAAGTATGTGTATTATCATGACCTATTAGATGCTTAACTTAGCTGAGAAAATTCAGGGATCCTTAGTGGTTAAAAAAAAATGAGTTGGAAAACAGCAAGCTCCAACTCAAAGAGTTTGAGTCACGCTGAGATCAGGATTAAATCCTGCCATAGAAAGGTTATATGACCATGGATCACTCTGTCCTTCCACGCTACCTAACTACCTATCTTGAAGGGTTGTTGTGAGAATCTACATGAAAATTAGACAACCTATGTGACAAGCTCTGAAATGCACGAAGCTTTTAAAAATGTAAAGAACTATCAGAAATTCCCCATTAAATAATATCCTTTGTGCTAATGGCTACCATTTGAACAAAGAGCTGTAAGTCTTTTTCTTTCTTGTTTTTGGGGCGGACTCTCAATCTGTTGCCCAGGCTGAGTACAGTGGTGCGATTTCAGCTCACTGCAACCTCCGCCTCACAGGTTCAAGCAATTCTCCTGCCTCAGCCTCCCAAGTGGCTGGGACTACAGGTGTGTGTGCTACCAGGCCTGCCTAATTTTTTTGTATTTTTAATAGAAATGGGGTTTTACCATGTTGGCCGGGCTGGTCTTGAAATCCTGACCTCAAGTGATCTTCCTGCCTCTGTCACCCAAAGTGCTGGTGCCTGGCCTCCCACCCTTTTTTTTTTTTTTTTTTTTTTTTTTTTTTTTTTTTTTTTTTTAAGGAGATGGAGTGGCACTACATTGCTCAGGCAGGTCCTGAACTCCTGGGCTCCAGAGTAGCTGGGACTACAGACTTACGCCATCACGCCTGTGCAAATATTTCAAATGAGTTTAAATCCAAGTAGAGCTTGAGATACAAAGGAGCAACCACGTCTTTTCACAAATCCATCTAATCACCTATGAAGTGTTAGCAATACAACTATTAAGACTGGCCATCAATCAAACCAACAAGAATATGCCTGCTAAAGCAGACGCTAATACACAATGCCTTTGAACTTGACAAATATAAAGACATTACAACTTTAAGGAATAGGAGTTGATACTTTGATAATGAGCTAATATAGCTTCACCTGGTCCTGATCATTTACCAATGAAAATGTGGGAAGGTATACCTTAACTTTCTAGATTATAAAACACCAGGAAATCTACACCTCAAAAGGCTGCTAAAGGAGTTAAAAATACGTATTTTTAAGAGCTCATGTGCACACACAGGTGGGTACTACCATTGCTTTTAAAAGTGAAATGATTAATCTTGCTTCATTTCCCTTCTTCCTCTTCTACACCCCTTCTTCCTTTATGTCCCAATAACTTCTCTGAACTCACTATGCTCTCCCATGACTCTTTATGGTGTGTCTCTTGCCTGGAACAACTTTCTCTCCTTTTTCTGGCCAACTCTTACTTGTATTTCAAGTGTGAAATAGTAGTTCCTCTAAAAAATCTTCCCTGAAGCTCCTTCCTCCCTTTAGGCTGAGTTACATCACTCTCCTACTTTTTTTCCAAAGCAACTAATGCCTAACTTGCTCTTAACTCTTGCCAAAAGACATTGTAAATATCTGTTTGCTTGTCTTTCCCATTAAGCCAAGAGTTGTTACCTGAAGGTCCATTTTCAAATGCTCAGAATTAGACCCCGAAGCATAATATGCATTAATAAGTGACAGGTAGGCCGGACACGGTGGCTCACACCTGTAATCATAGCACCTTGAGAGGCCAAGGTAGGCAGATCACAAGGTCAAGAGATGGAGCCCATCCTGGCCAGCATGGTGAAACCCCATTTTTACTAAAAATACAAAAATTAGCTGGGCATGGTGGCGTGCACCTGTGGTCCTAGCTACTTGAGAGGCTGAAGCAGGAGAATTGCTTGAACCCGGGAGGCAGAGGTTGCAGTGAGCCAAGATCGCGCCACTGCACTCCAGCTTGGCGACAGAGCAAGACTCCGTCTCTGAATGAAGCAATGGTAAATGGGTGAATAAAGCTCTATCAGTGGAGCAAGTCTACTGACAAGTGAAGAGCACATGATTAAGCTTCCTGTTCTCTTTTTAAGTTTATTTTTATTTTTACAGAGGCAAGGGTTCGCTATTATTGCCCAGGCTGGTCTCAAACTCCCTGGCTCAAGCAGTCCTGCTTTGGCCTCCCAAAGTGCTGGGATTATAGGCATTAGCCACTGTGCCCAGCCAATTTGTTTTTCTTTTTTTGAGACAGGGCCTCACTCTGTAGCCCAGGCTGGAGGTCAAGTAATCCCCCCACCTCAGCCCTCTGAGTAGCTGGGACTACACATGCATCATAAGGCCTGGCTGATTCTTTTTTATTTAATTTATTTTTTCTGAGATGAAGTCTCACCCTGTTGCCCAGGCTGGAGTGCAGTGGCACAATCTCAGCTCACAGCAACCTCTGCCTCCCGGGTCCAAGCGATTCTCCTGCTTCAGCCTCCCGAGTAGCTGGGACCACAGGCGTGTGCCACGACACTTGGCTAATTTTTTGTATTTTTAGTAGAGGTGGAGTTTCCTGTGTTAGCCAGGATGGTCTTGATCTCCTGACCTTGTGATCTGCCCTCTTTGGCCTCCCAAACTG